GTCATGTGTGGTTGAATAAAATGCTATAAAGACTAGTGGCATAATTTGGTACGGATTTCAGTTGGAACAACATTACAGTTCCTGTTCTTTGTCTGCGCCCATGACATAATTCCATTGGGGGGTTTCATGGCAGGGGAAACAACACAAAAACTCTGGAATACATTAGTCTGCATCAAAATGCAAAGTGCAACTATTTCCACTTTCCACTGTCTTTTGCGAAGCATAATGAGGATAGGAGGAAAATTAGAAAAACACAAGCCCACCAAGAATTCAAACTTCTACAGCTCTATTATCCAATTAACTTTGATTTTCAAATCTTCTCCTGTTAATATCTTGGTTAGGGTTAGCGCATAGGCCTTTGTTGTTTGTCTGGAAGTCTTTTTTGCATGACTGCTCTTTTTTCCATATTCTTTTTAATCTTTTGATTCTAAGAAAAGTTTATTGAGTTGCATACTTACATATTTTCAGAAGAGGAAGAAACAGTAGAATAACAATCTGATCCGCTGTTTGGGTTTCATATTTGGATGGAGAACGTAGCTGTGGTTGTAGCCGGTGTGAAGTGCAGTGTTACAGACAGAAATGGTGAAAATATACGTGAGATTGGAGCCAGCGCTATGATCAGTGTTCCGTTTTGTTTCCGCGGATGATGGCAGTGGACAGCGTACATTTTTTTGCATGTAACTCTACCTCTGCTGTGTGTCAGACGAATTTGGATGCAGCGTTGAACAGAGCTTGGAAGACATTGTGGGAGGTCAGTCAGCGGCGATGCGTACGTGCAGAATGTGCCTGCAGGAGTGTCTGCCTCAGCACTCTGTTTTCTTTCGAGGAGTGAGAGTCCACAGGTTGAGGGGTCGCCGGGTATTTGCGTCCAACATCGAGAAGGGAGTCTTTCAGCCACACATTTCACTGATGTTTTGGGAGACGCAAATGGAAACGTTGGGGGGAGGTCAGGCACACCAATCCTCCCTTTAGGAGTCCTTGTGGTGTGGAGTAATCGCAGCAATAGTACAGAATGTTTCTAGCTTGCTCTGTGGCAATGCTGTGAATACATATCTCCCTTTTGAGTTTATTCACGGGGCCGCAACCGCAAGCATGCAGGTGGATCGCTCACAGATGACCCATGAGACAGGAGCCGACGGACTAAAAGCGAACCAGTGATGTAAACCACCAACTCCTGGACATAAGTCACTGTAATAGTTCTTCTCACAGGAACACACAAGGGGAAATTGGGTTCCACTGGTGAAAATGCAGCTAGCGCAAAATCTCTCATGAGAAGCTATGGAAAGGCCTAATTACTCTGACAGGAACTAACAAACACAGGTGGCCTATGTCAGAATGGGTCACGACTGACGCCTGGGAAAGTCTAGCTCTTTATGTATTTCTGTGCACATTCATAACTCAACAAGGCCTACCGTTGAGATGATAGTGTGTTTGTTGTTAGTAGCCATTATTAGCTCTGATGTCAGTGAAGGGAATGGACAGTTTTTCTTTTCAATGTGTTCCTAATATAGAGATGACATCAGTGAGAAGTGCAGGGGAGGCCTATTAAAGTTGGATGAGAGGAGCCGTTGGTGGTGCGCTGTGAGAACAACAGCATGCATGGCCGCTAAACCACATGAATCTTTCAACAACAACACAAACCAGACATCAGGGGCTATTATTATCTGTTTGACCCCCCTGACCTGCCCCAGCCCAGAACAGTTTGTCTGCTTTGACTAATACACATTTTCACACCATATTTTATCCATTTATTACATTAGGGTGACCAAACGTCCGTTTTTCCCCGGACATGTCCGTATTTTGCGTCCTGTCCGGGGCGTCCGGGTTTTTTTTTTTTTTATAAAGTGATGCAAATGTCCGGGTTTTCAGTACCGCTCATTAAACTGAGCGTCTCTCGTAGCGTCTGTGACTCAGAAGGAGCGAGACACAAACAGTCGGTCAGTCTGCAACATACCGAAGCACAAATGCGCATTTAACAATGACTTGTACAAGAAATTTCAGTTTTCCATCCCGGTCGGGACAAGTGAGAGTCCATGTGCACAGGTTGTGAGGTGAGAGTACAGTGTCCCTCGTTTATCGCAGGGGTTACGTTCTAAAAATGACAGGCGATAGGTGAAATCTGTGAAGTAGTCTGCTTTATATTTTACAATTATTCTATCTGTGTTAAGGCTGTAAAACCCCTCACCACAAACTTTATACACTTTTCTTAGACAGGACAGGTGCAACCCTTTTTACTTCCTTCTTAAAACTTATTGCTGCTGTCGTCCTTGTGTTATTTTCCTCCTTCTTTATGTAACAAACTGAAGATTCATTTATTCCATAATGGAGCCCAACAGCGCAGAGTCCCGCACGGGTCCATTTTTGGAGACCCCAGTACAACACCGCACCCGCGCAGGACAGGACCGCACCTGCCCGTTAACCCGAGATTATATCAATTTTTTGCGCTGCCTACGGCACGGACTGAACCAAGACTAAACCAGGACTAACCCAGGACTGATTCTAGGACTGAAGAGGAGGACTAATCCACGACTGAACTAGGACTAAACCAGGACTAAACCAGAACTGAAACAGGGCTCACCGTCAGGACGGGCTCGGAGGTGACTGCAAGAGAAAGGTCCGGCTCAGCTCCGCACCTCACGGAGTTAAACGCGGCGCTTTGCGGACAAACTGCTCCGCGTTTTCTCTCCAAGATTAGTCCTGGTTTAGACCTGGTTTAGTCCTGGTTTAGTGCCCCCCCCGGAAATATGGTCACCCTAATTACATTGTTATATTTGGTTACACTAGACTATACAGAAAAAATCCCGCACACCGTCTTACTTGCAAATTGTGAAATTTATTAGGACAAACCGCGCAACGTTTTGGCACTAGGCCTTCGTCAGGCAAACAAAAGAGCTCAGGTGGCCATCTTAAATAGGGTGTGGCAAGCACCCAAGGGTGACAGGTCATAAAGAAACAGTGCACACAAAACCCCATAATTCAAAAAACAAAGACAGTCAACATATAGTGTAATAATAATACAAATAATAATAATGAAATCATCATATAACAATCATAGAATAATATTAGAAAAGTAAGAAGAATATATGGATACATATAGACATAGTATACACTCACCCAACTATAAAATAATGCTGTCGTGCCATATACACATCTATATATATATACACAATGAATCTTAAGCTGTAGCCCATATACAGCCCACCCAAAGCGAGAGTCCTATTGATGTAAATTAATGTCTACAAAAAGATGCTTAGATTAAAATCATCATTGAGTCCTTTAGGAGCTAAAGTTTGGAGAGTGTGAATCCAAAATTCTTCCCTTTGTTTAAGTATGCGGTCATGGTCCCCTCCTCTGGGTGGAGGGGGGACATGCTCAATGCCACAGAAACGTAGAGAGCAAATATCATGTCTCTGATCATTAAAATGTACTGCTACTGGGTAGTCCCGGTTGTTTCTTCTGATGTAGCTCTTGTGTTCACTTATTCTTTGTTTAAGTTTTCTTGTGGTCTTGCCAATGTACACTAGGCTGCATGGACATTTCAACATATAGACTACATGTGTAGATGCACATGTGATAACACTTTTTATGGGATATTTTTTACCAGTGTGAGGATGTAAAAAATTATCCATTTTTACTGTATTATTGCATTGAGCACAGCTGCCGCATTGGTAGTTACCATTGGGTAGAGGGTGCAATAGAGATTGGGAGGATAGTTTAGTTTTGTTTGTGAAATTGGCCCGTACCAGATAGTCTGTACGATTTTTGCCTCGTTTGTGAACAAAGAGTGGAGGATCTTTAAAGATGGTTGAAATTTCCGGGTCTGATTTCAAAATATGCCAATATTTCAGGAAAATTTATTTAATTGCAGGTGTATGGGTCGAATATTGGGTGATACAGGTTACGGAATAATGTTTTTGCCTTTTGGTGCTCTTTTTTAATAAATCTGTCCTTGACTTATGGAGAGCCTGCCCATAAGCATCATCAACCCAAGACATAGGGTACCCTCGTTGTTGGAATCTCACTTTCATGTCAGTGGCTTGTTGAATAAAGTCCTCAGTGGAATGGCAAATTCTTCATAATCGATAAAATTGACTTGTAGGCAAACCTCTTTTTAGGGGAGTCGGATGGAAACTAGAGGCCAACAGTAAAGTGTTTTTGTCAGTTTCTTTACGATACAATGAGGTGATAATATTCCCATTGTCCTTTTGTACCCACATGTCCAAAAAGCTTACTTTGTTAGAACTAAATTGTGCAGTGAATTGAAGGTTGGAATCAAAACTGTTTAAGAGTGACACAAAGCTTTCCAGCTGTTGAATGCTGCCATGGAATATACAAAAACTGTCATCAATGTATCTAAACCATTTAATTATGCTTGATAAATATTGGTTATGAGCAGAATTAAATACAAATTTGTTTTCAAAAAGACCCACATACATACATACATTTCTGTATGTTCTTGGGCTGCTCCCTCTCCTCCAACGCACCCATCTCTAGTAATTGATGTGCGAGGCTCTCATTCTTTCATATCGTTACACTAGACTATAAAATACATAATAGACAATAAACAAGCTAATGTAATTAGTGACAAGTGATTTGCTTGGAGACTATTTTGAGTACAAATTGTGGCTTATGTATCGTGTTACTGAGTGTTATAAATGATGAAAGGTTGTGGCTGCCTCACTGTCTAGTTGAGTTAATAGCAAGCATCCATTTGACAGCAAAACAATAGCACAATTACCTCTGTATCAAAAACATTTTAGCGTTCATTGTTAAAATCTAACATGGTAATTCAGCTAATTCGCTCATATTATAAAAATAGCTTTTTACTTTCCCAGAAGCGTGGAATTTTTCTGTATAAGATTGCTTTTGATCCAGTGCATTGAATTTTAACCTTTTGTCATATAATGCAATTGCCTTTTTAAATAGGATTTAAACATATTGTAGACATTTTTAACAGCATACAATATCTATGTAAACAATGTTGAATGATTCTAAGCAGATTATTTGTCTTTGAGTAGGTCTCCCCTGAGCTTGGCTGAGATCTTGTAATGTATAGGCCTCAGTGTTAACGCATAATTGCAGTTCATTGTCACCTCTTCGCTAGGGCATTTCTCAAAGCTACACTGATGCAGTAATATAGCAAAAAACAAGAAAACTTCAGCTTTTGCGATCTGGTCCCCAATGCATCGCCTTTTCCCCACAGAAAAGATCATAACGCTGTTAATGATATCTTTGTCCAGGGAGCCGTTCTTATCTAGAAAGCGTGAGGGGTCAAAAATGTGTGGCTCCTTCCACTTTAAAGGGTCATGATTGACAGACCACTGATTGACGAAGACCACTGTGTCTTTGGGGATGTGGCAGCCCTGGAGGGTGACATCTGAGGTGGTGGCATGGGGGAGGGGGATAGGAATAAAACTGGTGAAGCGCATGGTCTCATAAATAAAGGCGTCCACATAGGCCAGCTGCTTTCTGTCCTCCATTGAAGGTAACCTGCTTCGCCCTACCACCTGATCAATGACTTCTTGGAGTTTGGTTTGCATATGGGGGTATTTGGCCAGGAGCAGTAGCAGCCAGTGAAGGGCAGTGGAGACAGTGTCGAGACCAGCCCCAATCAGGTCTGCTACTGTCCCCTCAGTGTAGTCAGTGGTTAGCCCATTAGCACTCTGGCCTTTATCAATAACTCCAATGAATGCATCACTCATGTCACGGGTTATATTGGGGTCAAATGTTTTTCTGTGCTGCTCTACCTTGTCATGAACAAAACTAAAGAACTCTTTATTTAATTGTTGGAAATTTTTAAAAACACTGCGGACAGGATTTGGAAAACACTGAAGCCATGGCATCACATCCACTAAACTGCCCGCCCCCACAGTCTCTCCAAACTCATCTACTCTCTGTAACAAGGCTCGAAACTCGACATCGTCATGTCCATAGCGCTTTCCAAAGCACAGAGCACAAATCACATTGGCTGCCGCTACTGTCAGCTCATGGGCTGGGTTGAAATACTGAGCCTGAGAGCTGTGTCTAAGTAAAATCTCCACTAGTTCTGTGGCTTCAGCCACAATCTGTTGCTCAAAGGCTTTTCTGGTTTGGCTATTGGCTGATGAGAAAGCTCTGATTGTTGACTGGACAATCTGATTGTTGACTGGACAATTTTCTTGTGCATCTTCCACTGTTTGCTGTAATTTCCAAAAGTCATACTTTTGCCCCCTGAAACAACTTGGAATGACACAAAGTTTGGTCTGCCTGCAAACTCAGTGCTGTGCTGAATGAGAGCCTGACGGATGGCCTTGTCTCCGTTCAGGACCACAATGTCACTGCAGCCCAGGCGGATCTGGTACACATTCCCATACTTCTTGGCCAGCCTGGTTAAGGTGATATGGGGCATCTTTCCCAGCTGCATGGCATTGCCCACCACTGGCCAGGCAAAGGGTCCGGGCAGTTTTCTCTTGAGCCGGAGGTTTCGGACCCACAGACAAGCTTCCAAACAGAAGAGGAACACAAAAGTGGCCACTAGAGCAGGCTGGACCTGTCCACTCCATTCTCTGATGAGGCTGCTGCTCTTCAGTCCAAACTCGCTGTCCTCTTGGTCCATCATTTTGAAAGTATTTCACTGTGCGTAGACGAAGCTGTCCTAAAATTTAGCTCAGATTTGATCTTAATCCTTTTCCTGTTGTATAGTTAAACAGACTGATGAGGCTCTAGTGCTCAGCAGAGGCTCTTCTGATGACCAGTGTGGGGCAGTGCACTTTGCACTTTGCTTAAATCTATCTCTATTGTGGGAAGAGTCAACTATCTCTCTCCTCCCATTTTGACAATTATGTACAAATGTCAGTCCCACATTCCTGCTTTGGTCACTTTCCAACTGCGCCACTGGAAAAGGCTTCTTAAAATATCTCATATTCATCACTCTGTTGCTGTAACTGAGACTCTATTCTCTGAAATCTGAAAAACTTAGCATTTTGAAATAATGTGTGATTATAATAAACAAAACAAAAAAAACATTTATGGCTCTTGGTGCTTAATGAAGGAAATGTTTTTATTCACAGCTAGTTAGTTCATAGTTAGTTCATAATCTTAAATCCCACCACATACACTCTTCAAATATTTCCATCAAGTCTGTATTTGTTGTTTTGTGTGCATGGTGTAAACATTTTTTTAAATTAAGTCTGATGGTAATGATATCTACGTAAAGGGCCCATATGACATAGTTGGCAGTACTGTGTGATATTTTTTAACTTCATCGAAAGATTCTTTTTATTATTTATTCAGACAAACATAGACAGACAAAGATAATCACCCTTCTCTTTATTGATTAATTTCAGATATAGCTTATTTCTCACAAAACACTTCAGCATTTAATTAACAGAACCTTATTTTGAATGCATACAAAACATTCCAGGATGATCAGCAAGGTACTGTCACCTTTCAAAACAAAAAAGTTGTCAGTGTAATCTCATTTCTGTTATCTCAACAGAAATGAGAAATGATATAGCTTTAAAATTCTTTATTTGTAAACATTCCACAGATTCTTGAATGGATTCTGATTGCAAAAATAAAAATTCAAATGCCATAAAGACTCACTATCTCTCCACGACTTCAATCAAAAACACCTCACTCCTCAATATAGTCTTATAAATGTCTTCATATATTTCTGGTACAGTAGATACATTATATTGACATTATATTGTAAATATACCTGAACACCAAAACATTTTCATGTAATGTTGAACATGACAATGATTAAAACGCATTCAAAAAACATATTACTGTTCATAATAATCAATTGTAAATATTCACAAACAACATTGACATCACAGCAAACCTTAGACATTTTAGTGGTAGATTTTGCTGGTATTCATTAATAAAATAATATACAACGCACCAACAGATTACGATCAAGTATGAAGTTGTTTGTGGTGCATACATTGAATACTTACTGACCGTCTATAAGAACTGTTTATACTATTTAAAACTTATTTAAATCTATTTCAATATAGTTCAAACACAAGTCGCACTGGACCAAATATCACATTTAAAATGAGCATTTTACAACAATAAGCTTTAGTGCAGACATGCCCATACTCATTGGTGCTAAATGTCACATTATGAGAACAGGCTGTTCATGCCGGGGACACTAAGCCCAGCAGCTTCCCCCTCAGCTTGGCTCTCAGACAGAAGTGGAGGGGCTTCAGTGACAGCCCGTATGAGCAGTCCAATGAGACCACAGTGCAGGGGTCACTCTCAAAGCAGCACTGATGCAGCAGAATGGCTGTGAATAAAAACACTTCCACTTTGGCGATCTGGTCACCGATGCAGCGTCTTTTACCTGTGGAGAAGATCATGACACTATTGGTTAGGTCCTTGTCCAGAGCTCCATTCTCATCCAGGAAACGTGAAGGGTCAAAAATCTGTGGGTCTGTCCACTTGAGAGGGTCATGGTTTACTGACCACTGGTTGATGAAGACTACTGTGTCTTTGGGAATGTGCAGTCCTTCAATAGTGACGTCTGCTGTTGTGGAGTGAGGGATCGTGACCGGAACAAAGCTGGTGAAGCGCATGGTCTCATAGATGAAAGCATCCAGGTAGGGCATGCCGTGCCTATCCTCGAGGGTCGGCAGCCTGTCTGGGCCTACGACCTTGTCTATGAGAGTGTGCAGTTTGGCCTGAATGTCTGGATACTTAACCAGGAGGAGGATGATCCACTGCATGGCTGTGGACACAGTATCTTGACCTGCTCCGATCAGATCTGTCACCGTTGCCTCAACAAATTCTTTGCTTAGCCCACTGTCCTTCCCATACTCTATTACATTTATGATGGCATCACTCATGTCCCGGGTCACATCGGGGTCAAAAGTCTCTCTGTGTTGCACAACTTTATTTTTCACAAATGTATAGAAGTCCTCATTAAGGCTTTTGAAGTTTTCATAGACACTGCGCACCGGGTTAGGGAAAGACTGCAGCCAGGGCATGACATCTACCAAGCTGCCAGCACCAACGGTCTCACCAAACTTTTTCACTTTCCTCAGCAGAGTCCTGAACTCCAGGTCATCGTGGCCGTAGCGCCGCCCAAAGCACAGGGCACACATGACATTAGCAGCAGCTACTGGGAATTCATGAGACGGGTCAAAATATTGTCCATCTGAACTTTGCTGCAGAAATATCTGTACCAGCTGCATGGCCTCAGCTGTGATGTGCTGCTCAAAGGCTTTTTTAGTTTGACTGTTTGCGGAGGAAAACGCTCGCAGGCTGGATTGGGCAATTTTCCTGTGTACTTTCCACAGTTTGCTGTAATTAGTAAAAGTCAGACTTCTTCCTCCAGAAATCATCTGGAACGACACAAAGTTTGGTCTGCCTGCGAACTCAGCGCTGTGCTGAATGAGAGCCTGACGGATGGCCTTGTCTCCGTTCAGGACCACAATGTCACTGCAGCCCAGGCGGATCTGGTACACATTCCCATACTTCTTGGCCAGCCTGGCGAAGGTGATATGGGGCATCTGCCCCAGCTGCATGGCATTGCCCACCACTGGCCAGGCAAAGGGTCCGGGCAGTCTTCTCTTGAGCCGGAGGTTTCTCACCCACAGACAAGCTTCCAAACAGAAGAGGAACACAAAAGTGGCCACTAGAGCAGGCTGGACCTGTCCACTCCATTCTCTGATGAGGCTGCTGCTCTTCAGTCCAAACTCACTGTCCATTGTGGAAAATTGTTAGGCGCTTCAAAATGCTCCCTCTTGATCAGTTACAATTTGATAGAAAAAGGTTTGGTATATAAAAATGGACAATTCTATTAAATTGAATGAATAATGAATATTTTAAATATATTAGTTAAGTTTGCTTTCCTTTCTCAAGTTTTAAGGCTTAAGTGCCTGCCTTTTGCTTCTCTTCACGTCTTATATGTTTAGCAGCTGTGGGCAGGGCTCAAGATAACTTTCATACTCCTCCCATTGTGGTAGCCCAGCAAACCCCTCCACATTATCTCCGCGCTGTCGCTCGGTGTCGAAGGCGCGCGTCTCCAGTGAGCGCAGAAGAGCGCAGTGAGCGGCGGGCACAACCGCGCTTCGGACGTGCCGTGCGCGCACCGACAGGCAACTGGTGTCCGCGTCCCAGGGAAACGCACCGAGCTTCTTTTTTGTTTATTGTTTCTTATTCATTTTGAGATCGAGGGCGGTCAAAATTGATTTTGACGGCTCATACGCTATAGTTTTAGGCTACGCAAAATCCCGCGAAGTTTGCAGGTTTGTCTAGAACGAGTTTCAATTTCCTAAACATTTCTAGACTTTTCATAGGCTATTTCGCTATTTGTAAGTGTGGAAAACAACAAAAGTAAATAGTAAATAAATTAACAGGCTAAAAATGTGAGTTAAAACACCTAATTCTGTTCGCTAACTTTATTTATTGCCGTGAACATCGCGCTGCTGATTAAAAAGATCTTAAACTTTGGCTGTAGGCTCCACCAAACACAATGGGAAATAACTAGACTACAGATGATGATCATCTAAAAAAGCAGACAGATCAGTCATTTAAACCTATTTTTAGATTTTTTATAAAGGTGAAATAAGGTGAACAGATTTTTTTGCCTCTCTAGTTAAAAAAGTCCACTTCATGTTTTTACGGAAATAATAAGATAAGAAAACCTCATATATATATATATATATATATATATATATATATATATATATATATATATATATATATATATATATATATACATATATATATATACATATATATATATAATATATATATATATATATATATATATATATATATATATATATATATATATATATATATATATATATATATATATATATATATATTCCCCATAATGACGGGATTTCAGTGTTACAATTACAAGAACTGCAGAAGAATAGATAGATAGATGCACTCAAAAATCAAGATAAATAAGCCCTCAGGTCTCTCGTTCAACTAGAATATTAAAACTGTAAAATTGTTATATACAATAAGGCTATGGCAGTGGGTATGTACATTGCAACAATAACAGGTAAAGACAAAGGCATAATGTTATTAACAATCTCAGCAAATCAAACATTATTTTTGTTCTTATTATTGGTTCTGTTTTATTTTTCTTCATAAGTAAGTATCTTAATTTTAGTAAATTAAATATTTAATTATCTCAGTTAATGGTACCTAATGATGTCTTATGAAAGCCAGGGATACATGTTCATGTATTGTATTATTGATATTTTGCCCATTAAAAGCAGAAAAGACTTTACAATGGGATTGTATATAAATAGTTTGTTTGTGAAGTGTTGCATGATGTGTCCATAAATATGTGCGTTACAAATTGCAGAGCGCATCCTCTTCTACTTTATAAATTAGATATGGTGTATCAGGCCTGTTCTAAATCAGTACTCTAACTGCTGCTCTAAACTGTATACATACATTTTTATGTGGGCCCACACCACAGCCATGTATGGTCTCACAACTCATATTCATGCTGTGAAGACAAACAGAAAGGAAACAACAAAAGCCAAATACTTTTTTACAGTCATGTACTTTTTATACCCCGTTGAGCTGTTTGTCTGAGAGATGCGGTGTGGCCGAGCACCAAAGCCTCTAGAATGATTCTTGGTTAACCAGAAACACAGCCAAGTCTTCC